TAGTCCTCAGCCGGATTTGAGCCGGCGACCCTCTGATTCCAAACCCAAGTCCCTTCAGACTGAGCTACTGTCGCCCGCAAACAAAAAGAGTGTGAAGGTGTAGCTGTGATCGGTCAGAGTGGACCGTCTGTTCTTCCTCTGAGGAGAAGTCCAGCCGCTCTTCTGTCACTCCGTCAACTATTAGTTAACTTTCCATTTAACTGCCAGTTAGTCGGCCTGTCATTATACCTGTAAACATGTTATCAAAAACCAATAGTTCATCAGTCAACTGGGAATGAATGCATCCAGATCATACATCAATCTGCAGCCAGGGCTTCATATTTTCCTATTGAAGCAACCTGAACACACCTGAGTAGCAGTTCTCCTTAAGGTGTCTTTATCTCGTAAACAAAAGATACTTAAGACACAATGTTTGCACATGAACAAGGCTTTTTCCTCTGTCATTTAACTCAACATGTAATGCTTCAGTGCTTACAAGTGATTCGCAACATCACACATTAAAGTATGCTAAGATTCATTTACAAACCTTCTTTCAGACACTGCTGTATCCTGCAACATAAATGCTGTTGTGCAGCTGTAGTCTACTCTATTGTACAAGTCTAATGTTACTGGTGTTTTTTTTTTTAACTGTACCATAGTTCATACACATCAATTGTACATAGGTTTCTATTCTTAGTCCTGCATGGGTTATGTCTAATGTGAGTGTCCATCAAAGGTACAGTATGGTAGGTGTTTAGATTCCTCCTGAACATTTTTGCTCCACCATTGTTCTTGAGGAAGCACTAAGCTTTTTTAACCATTGTGTTTCCATAATTTGCTGGTGTACAGCTGGAGAGCTGACAGAAAACAAAAAGAGAGCAACAAGAAGAAAAGGCAAGCAACAAAAGGCTCAATCTGTGACAATCAGCTCCTTAAGTCCTGAGGTCAAAGGTTGAAAAATGGCAGATAGATATGCGAGTGATGGAAGATGCTTTTTTTTTTTTTTTTTTTTTTTTTTTTTTTGGAGTTCCAGAAACTACATCATGATACTTTGAAACCGTCCTTAAGGCTCACAAAGATATGTAGTGTTAGTTTGTACTTTGATCGGGCTCTGTTGTAAAGAAAATAAAGAGAGACAAAGAACTAACAGGGGAAATTAGACATTCTGACTATTAGCAGCTTCAGTTTTACGACGTTTAATCCTCATAAAAACTGTAATTTTTAAGACTTTTTTTTTTAGTTTACCAACCTCAGATTTCTTGTTCTTGTTCCAAAAGTGTGAATTCTTGGTGAAGAAGAGGATATTCAAAGTAACACCAGCGCATGTGTTAGCGAGAGTTTGAGGTTTCTGCGTTGAACACGTTGCCTTCGCTGACCCTGCGACATGATGTCTGCCGGCGTGACGCTTCAAAGGGGCAAAAATGCGGCTTCTGGGTGTCGATCCAAAGCAAGCAAAGCTGTATGTGATTGCAGCCCAATAACAACAGGCTGCTGTATACACACTGACAGACACATGCCCAATGTGGATGTAGATGAGATGCATGGTCATGCGTGTGGCCGATCGGTTCATGTGGTCGTTTAAAAAACAAGAAACAAAGCCTTAGTTCTGTCCTCAGAGTTTTATGACCTCACTGGCAGCTTCACACAAACACACACACACAAATAATTTCACGCTTTCAGAAGAATTATGATCAGGGAGTTTAAGACAGGCAGCAAAAACACAGAACTTCTTTTATGGGAAAAACACATCAGAGATAAAAATTAAGCGATGTCCTGCATCATTGGCCAGTTTAATTTTATTATGAGTAATCTTAAAGGTCTTCTTTTGTCTTTTTTATATCAAACCAATGATGTAAGTCTCTGATTTTCCTACATTATCCCCCTCTAGTGCATCAAACTTTGCCCTAACTTTATTCAACGTCTGCTGCAGTGACTACATGAAGGCAAGTCACGTACAGTGAAAGTGATTCACTGTTTGTCATCTTCTCTTTGTTTGTTGTTGTAGACGATTCTGAAGAGGAGAGTCTGGAGTCCGATCTGGGTCAGGTGGGGACTCACGCCTTCGCCCGGATGGAGGGTGACGTGGACAAACAGCGCAAACAGATCCTGCAGGGCCAGATGTCCGAGGCGGCGATTCAGAAACAACACCAGAGAAAGTAAGAGCCAAACGAGACACTTAAAATAAGATAAAATGATTTAAGATTGTGAAAATTCAGCTTTATGTATGACAAAAAATCCAATCCAAATGTATTTGTAAAGCACATTTAAAAACAACAAAAGTTGACCAAAGTGGGGGCGCCGTAGCCTAGTGGTTAATATGTGTGACCTATGTACAGAGACCGAGGTCTGAAGAGAGAGAGAGAGGGCTTGTGTTTCAAGGTTAGATTTAAGAACATGAAGCATGGGGGGGCAGATCAACATGTGGAGGCAAGGCGTACCAGAGTGTGGGTGCTGCTACTGAAAAACGCTCCTGAGCTTCAACTTAAACCTCAGGATAGTCAGACGCAACTTATCTTTTGATCCGAGTGTCCGTGATGAACGATGAGGTTTTAAAAAGGTCAGACAGATGAGAAGGAGCCAGCCCGTTTAAAGTTTATAAGTCAGTAATAATATCTTAAAATCAATCCCAAAACACACAAGGAGCCAGTGAAGTGAATTAAAAATAGAGGAGTTAAGCTCATTTGCTAGTTAAAAGACGAGCTGAGGCGTTTTGATCAGGCTGAAGACGATTAGGAGAGGCTCGCCTGACGACAACATGAAGTGCATGACAATAATCCAGACGTGTGGTGATGAAAGCGTGCACATACTTCTCTAAATCAGGGAAAGATGAAAGTTGGGTTGATGTTAATTAGCATTGTTAGAATTGGCACTTACAACTCTGGGGTTTACAATTTCTGCCTGCAACAGGTGTGCAACAAAGGGACATAGTTAGACTTAAACTTGGGACACTCTGGGTGCAGGTGTGTTTTCTTTTTTTTTTCTTAGGTTTTTATGTCTTTATTTAGAGACTGGACAAGTGGACAGATTTAGAAATATGAGAGAGCGAGAATGGGGAGGGACATCTAGAAAAGGAGCCACAGTTTAGAGTCGAACCCGAGTCGCCCGCTTGGAGGACGATAACCTCTGTACATTGGGACTGGCTACTGGCGCCCCAGGTGTGCATTGTAGACCTCAAGGCCTTAGAGACGCCTTCACACACAAAATCAAGCCTGTAAACAGAAGAAAGCAAGAGGATACAAAAATAACACTTTAGTATGACAACACCTCTTGGGCCTTTTTACGACCTTGTTTCAATCATTTTCTGCACTTTTATACGTAAACTCTGACGCTCAGGTGTCTTTGTTTTTTCACCTTTTATTGTCATCTGGTTGTGAAATTAGGCCGTTTACAGGTTTCTACGACACCCACACACGTTATTATATAAAGTCTTTATGTGCCTTGTGTTTTCTCTGCATTCTTGTGTCTAGTAAATAATTAAACAGGCAGGTCCAACACCAGATGTCCAGCTGTTTACCTTATTTAGCTGGTTATGAAACAACAGACTGAAATGAAGACGATGTCTATTTATGAACTACGGAAGCAAACGACACCAGCAGTAACAGGAATTACTTTTTTCTACATTGCTAATATAAATGCCTAAACCTGTGAAGGGTCAGGTGTCGGGCTAGGTGATTACCTGCTCTCTGCCAAAACATTTATTCAGCATTTTCCACCGCAGAGGTTCTCAATGAGTGATACGACTGACTGTTAACAGAAAGACGGATGAGATCACAAGCAACACAAACCGATCGTTCCTCATAGAAGCTTTAAATGATGTGGTGACCACATCACCTCCGTCCTTCATAACCTCCACTGGCTCCCCATCCCCCAGCATATCCACTTCAAACTCCTCATCATCACCTACAAAGCCCCTCCTCCCCCTACCTGTCAGAGCTCCCCCACCAGCACCTCCTGTCCCCCCCCCTGCAGGACAAACTATCAGTCCTGGGGGGACAGGGCCTTTGCAATTGCCGCTCCCGTCCTCTGGAACTCACTCCCAAAAACATCAGACTCACCCTCCACATTCAAGAAATCCCTAAAAACTCACCTCTTCTACATCACCTACAACCACTAACAATCTCAACTCTCATCCTCCTTCCTTTACAATATTTCTTTGTTGTATTGTTTTTGGCGTTTTGTTTTGTTTTAATTTCATTTCATTTATTATACAGGCAAGTTTAAAAGTAACATTAAGTTACAGTTTAACGGGCCTGACTCAGTTTAAAAACTGGTTTCCAGCAGGTTCCTGTTCTGCGGAACATGAAACATACACCACAGTCATGACACATCAAGACAAACACATTTACAGGACGTTCGTATGAGCTAGGCAAATACAGGACTTCCTAGTTTTTAACATGTCACTCCATTCATGTGAGTTTATATTTGAAGTATTTTAGATGCTTTAGATGCTTTTCCTGCACGTCGTTTACAGTATATGATGCATGTTGTATCCAGAAACTAAAAACTAAGACCCCTTTCTGTGTCTGAATCTCTCCTGCAGTTACAACCGCTGGCTGTGTCGGCGAGAGCAGAAGATCTGTCGGACATCGCTGCACTGAAAGCTTTATATCAAACTGGTATGTGTTCATATGTGAGGAGCACAGAGAGAGAGAGAGAGAGAGAGAGAGAGAGAGAGAGAGAGAGAGAGAGAGAGAGAGAGAGAGAGAGAGAGAGAGAGAGAGAGAGAGAGAGAGAGAGAGAGAGAGAGAGAGAGAGAGAGAGAGCGGGGTCGTGTCTTAGTTAGATCCTTGTCATTGTGATTCTGTCAAAACAGAGAGGCGTGTGTGTCTGATGATTCTTTGCCTGGTGAGAGTGTTTCTTTCACCTCATTGATCAGCACTGGTGGAGTACAAAACATCTTCATCTTCATCTCCTCTCTCTGACTCTAGCTCAATTCACTCTCATAACCAGTAGGAGGCGATGTTGCTGTAGAGATTGATCTGATTGTTGCATTCCTAGGCCAGTTGTTCCCTGATGCCTCATTATAAATCATAATTGCCCTCTTAGCTTTTCTGAGCCTGTCAAATATTTAGACCCATGTTGTGAACTCGATGACCCCTCTTTCTCCTGACTTAAAAAAAGGTAAAATGAATGCAATAAAAATCAGACAAATAATGAAACCAACCAAAAATCACCAAACGTATTATCTCATGATCATCATCAGGACTTTGGGGCTTTTGTTTTTATCTACCAGCTTCTCTGATAGTGTCCTCACTTTGCATAAAAAAATAAAATGATTAAAAAAAAAACAGAAGACCTGTTTTTATAGTTTATCAGGTAATCAGGGATTTTAACTTTCTGTTTTTGTATAAAAGTTTGGTTTAGAAATGTTGAACTAGACAAGGAGTATTATAGATATGAAAATGATCAAAACGTAAAAGCGGGGTGCAAAGGTGGGTTAGTGTTGTTGCCTCACAGAGAGGAGGTTCCTGGTTTGAATCCCCGTCTGACAGGAGCCTCTCTGTGTGGAGTCTGCATGTTCTCTCCGTGCAAGTGTAGGTTTTCTCCGGGACTCTAAATTGCCCGTAGGTGTGAATGTGAGTATGGCTGGTTGTCTGTCTTTTTATGTCAGCCCTGTGATTGACTGGTAAACAGTCCAGGGTGTAACCCCACCTCTCGTCCAATGATGGCTAGGATCGCCCCCCCCTGCGACCCTAAATGGGAAAAACTGTTCAGATAATGGATAGATGGAAAACTGAAAAGCAAAAACAGTTAAAGTTTTGGGCTGCAGGGAGACCTCAGTGCGACCCCAGCGATGAAGGGAAGTGAACGACTGAGAAAGAAAATAAAATCTATGGCTTCAAAGATGCCATTAAAAGCACCGGCACACTCCTCGTTTTAAATTTAGATCCGGATTGTACCTCATGGTCATGCGACAGGATGAAAAGATTTGTATTGTGTTCAGTAAAAGTAAAAATCAGGTTTAAAAAAAAAACTCCAGCCCTTGATTATTGAACACAGAACCAGCATGAAAAAACTGTTTAAACAAAACACAGCCCTCTGAAGAATTTCACATGCACCGCAGAATACAAACACAAAATCAAGAACACCATCGAGTACACATGCGATGCGGCTGAGCTGCTGTAATACCAACCGCTTTTTTCTAAAGGAATGATGTCACTCCTTGTATCGGGATAGGTTTTGATTTGCACAGGGAGGCAGCGAGGCCAAGTGAGCTTAGAGGCTGCAGAGCGTTACACAGAAGGGAATTTCCGGGTAGTTAAGTTCGTATAACTGCGCTTACATTTTGGCAAACGGCCGAGTGGTAACTCAGATCAGACGAGACCGGGACATCTTAAAACTGCATATAAATCAACGCTGAAGCTTTTTAATTTAAAAGTCGTTATAATGGTTTCATCCAATCAGAGGTGCAACAAACAGATTCTTACTTTAGAATCATTAAAAAGCAGAAAATCAAGATCAGTGAGGAGTAAAAACCTTATGATTGTTTGGCAACATTTCATATTAGCGGTCAGAGGTCATATTCATTCTGCGATATATTGTCGTCTTGACTCGTGTGATGCAATTATCAAAATGCTGGAGTAAAATATTGAGGCGCTCTAATCAGATTTCCCAATTTGAATCACTGCGTCACCACTTTATGACTCCTCAAGGCATGAATGAGAAAAATGTGAACAGAGGATTACTGAAAGTGGGTAAAGAAGTAGATGATGTCAAATAACGGTGAAAAGAAGAGATGAGGCGTGATACGAGGTGAAACTGACACTAAGTCGCTGTAAATACATTAAACCTGCTTTTTATATTCCTCTGTAATGCTATGCCCCAAAAATCCAAATCAGCCGTGTCCTTATCCTGAGTTACCATTATTTTTCCACTCCTGTTATACAGTTATTGTATTTATCTAAAAACTAGTCATCGACTCAATTAACCAAATATTCTCAGCTTTTTATTAAATTTGTTACAAGGTCACAGGTAACATCAGTCTGCAACATTTTTCAACAAATACCTCTGTGGTTCTTTCGGAAACTTTGCAAATTGTATCCTTTCAAGTGGCATGCCAATTAACGAGGCGGTCAACAGACAAAGTGTGTGTGCCTCTGTTTCTGTCTTTTTTTAAGTTAACCTATGATTTGTAACCTTGGTGGAAATTGTGTGTGTCCAGGTGTGGATCTGTGCGGCAGGACAGTGATGGTTATTGTTGGACGAAACATCCCGGTGACCCTTATCGACATCGAGAAGGTAACAAACTAAAAATAAATAATATGTTTTAAAATAAAAAGCCTCTGTATTGACTTCAAATCTGTATCTGTATTGAGCACTTCTATTGATGTGGGACACTGAGTGTTGTGTTTGTGTTGACACTTCTTACACAACCTATTTGCATGTCTTGTACTCTCATGTGCTTCTGTTTCATAAGATGTTTCTTTTTGCATGTTTCGAGCAGCTGTTTGTGTGTCTCTGTCACTGCTTTCTCATGTGCCTTCGGCCAACTACACAAATGTACTTTGTGAGTGTGCAGATGTATTTGTAGTCCTAAAGACCTTTTGTACACAAATACTGAAGAACTATTTGAGTCTACTGTTACTGACCCTTAAAATGAACCACCTCGTACGGACAGTGCTACAGCCGTAAGAAAGTCAAACTTCACCTGTGAATGAAAAGGAGTCATCAGATTGAGTCTGTGTTTGTGTGTGTCTGTGTGTGTCTGTGTGTGTCTGTGTGTGTGTGTGTGTGTGTGTGTGTGTGTGTGTGTGTGTGTGTGTGTGTGTGTGTGTGTGTGTGTGTGTGTGTGTGTGTGTGTGTGTGTGTGTGTGTGTGTGTGTGTGTGTGTGTGTGTGTGTGTGTGTGTGTGTGTGTGTGTGTGTGTGTGTGTGTGTGTGTGTGTGTGTGTGTGTGTGTGTGTGTGTGTGTGTGTATGTATGCAGGCTCTGCTCTACTTCATCCACGTGATGGACCACATCACAGTGAAGGAGTACGTCATGGTTTACTTCCACACACTGACCGGGGAGCACAACCACCTGGACCCCCACTTCCTCAAGAACCTCTTCGACATCGTTGATACCAAGTCAGTCTTTTTTTTTACACTAAAATATCAAAATTAATGGAAAATTGACTTAACCCATGTTATAAATATATTTTGTTGTGTACCTACATTACCTCACATATGTCCAACAGTTATCAAAGCCAGAGAAATCTCTAATTTTATAGTTTGAAATGGACGTGTCTTGTCTTGGTGGCCGCCATGACAGACACGTCACCTTTAGCGTTGCCATGGAAACACCTGATGTTATGTCAAAGACCGCTGCATAAGGAGCTGCCGTTCTGTTGCTGTGTGTGCTGCTGTGATAAAAGCGTCATGTAAATTATACTCGGATACATTAGCTCGTCTGTAAACATCTTCTCTTCCTCAGGTCGGTTTTGCTCATTTGTCTTGATTACGATCAACTATAAGTTGGTTTTGATTTTGATCGGGGTTGGGGGGAAATAGCAGAGAGAGTCACTCCCATGATTCCCCGCCAGCCTCGATGTCATCTTTTGAGAGCCCCTGGTGGCAGAATTTAAATACTGTGCCTTTAAACTGATAAAAATAATACCTTAGCATCTCTGAGTAACTTCTTCTGGGAGGAGGGCTGAAATGTTAAATTTCTCACTTTGATTTAAAGAGATTTTTTGAAGTGAAATCGAAGGCTAATTCAATTCCACGCTGGCCTACTTTTTGTAATTTTGGCCTCTCTTTCTTCTGTTTTGTCAGAGACTCTGTAAGTCATTATTGCTTTAACATGCCATCCTCCCAAGCTCACATCTTTAAAGTTCTGTGCTGTATCGGTGTTTCAACTCTTTTGGCCAGTGATATATTTGATCATTAATTGCCAGAACTTGATATCAAACAAAGAGGATGAATTTTTCTTACAAGAAATTATGCTAAAAATGTGTTAGAAAAGTTCTCCAGATGGAACTTGGGTCTGACAGCTCCTTGGTATTAGGTTGCTTTTCTGTATTTAATCAATAAGGTACTTTGCTAAGCCATTTGCTTTCACTTAAAATAATATATTAGTGTATTATAAGCATTATCTCTTGCCTCCTCTTTTCCAGATTTGTAGCTGGATTCAATAAAATCGAAACTCAAAAAAGCTCAGGCCTGGCTGTCATTGTGACTCAGGTTTGGCTCTGGTGACTCTGCTGACTTCTGCAGCTGCATCAAAGTTCAGATATATTGTTCATGCAACAGTGTGACACGGCCAAGGTAACAGTGTTTTGACTTTTGGAAAAGCAAAACGAGCTGTGAAATGTTTTTGCTCCTCCATGGGTTTTGGAAATCTGGCGGCCATATTTGGAGCAGGAAACCCAAACTGGGAGCGTGCTTTGGGTCATTGTTTGGCGGCGACTCAGCCTTAATCAAAGGGTTCACAGTTTGGAAAGAAGATCCTTTAGCTCAGGATAGTCCTTTCATACATATCACTTACAGAACTTGAAATTAAACAGGCGTTAAATTTGAAGATATGGATTCAGTAGCTCCTCCAATTACAGCTCCAAATAGACAAAATGCTGAAGAATGTTGCAATGGATAGCCCATTTACTTTACTGTGTTTTACATTAAATCTAAACAGCATACAGACAAGTTATCTTATTGTGACAACATGCATTTCATTGCAAACGTGAAACAAACATCTAAGATCAATATGTGGATGATGTTATTTATCCCTGGAACAGATGCAGTCAGAAAGTCGACCCTTTGTCTGATCTTAATATGAAATTCTATTGAGAAATGTTAAAAAAAGTCCAAGACTGTGAATACACTGTGTCACAAATAGACAATATTTGGACATCAAATACTTTACACATGGTGTCAGATGTTGAATAACATTTCATCCCTCTGTTTGCAGTCTGAGATAAATAACTACGGATGATGTGAAAGTCAAATAGGAGCCACCACATCCTGCAAAAGAAAACCAGAACTGTTTAGAGTTTCAACAAGCCACCAAAATAGACCCACAGTTCGTGTTATCTACTGAAATGGATACTTGAAACCCAATCGGGCGCTGTGCTGAATCCACTGTCTGCAGCCAAGGAGTTTTGATTCTCTTTGAATATACCACAAATATGTCCAGCTGAATGAAGGAAAATGCCTTTGCTGTAATGTAGAGAGTTCTCATTTGATGCAACAAGGAATTTGTTGAAAAAAAAAGCATTTCAGATTCTAGTGTCTAAAGACGAAAGGAACACAGGTCAGATGATGAGCGGCGGGCGCCAAGCAAAGGTTAAGGCTAAGCTAAGTATGGTCTCGGTTTTCTGCACCGTCAAAATATAGCAAACTACTTACAGCATTCGGGTGACTTTTCATGCTTGTCCATGGTAGGCCAGTTTCAATTCTATTGCCGCTATTTGGCACATTGCCTTTGTCTTGTTTCACTTAATTAAAGTGTCCAACACAGCTGAAGTCTTCGGCATTTTGTCTCCCCTTTAACGGCCAAGGTGAACTGAAGTGTGACGTTCACTGACCGCTGTGAGGATACGAATAAAAGAAAATAACGAATATTCAAATCACAAAATTAATAATCGCCTACCAACAAACGGATAGCCGAATATTCAGGTCCAGCCCTAATGTAAGCATTAACATACTGGAATTTTTCTTTAGTGTTTAAGCCACAGTTCACTGTTTCTAAGCTTGAAGCCAAATAACGTTGTTGCATATAAACATTTAGGCATCCACAAAAAGCAGAAACTAAACAAAAGAAAAAAATGGCAGGCCAAATGAGGTTATTACACTTGCTCTCTTTCTAGTTTCTAGTAACCACAACCAAGCAAACTTCCTTGTTGTGGGAAACTCCATTCAGTCATTATGCACCTCTCAACCCCGGGTTCCTTCAGAGAATGGTCATTCAGTTAGTTCATCAAACCTTTTTTCAACCTTTCTGTCTGGAGCTTTAGTCAGGCCCTTAAATGAGAAATGTAGGAACATATCCCTGATGTTTGCTCTTTATTTTACATGAGACGTATATATACTGCTGTAGTCTTTGATTCAGGAAGTATATTCAGAATTTTAAGAGAGTGAACAAAAAAGGAAGCTACCCAAAATGCCCCATTCATACAATCACATGAAATAGGAATGAAGACACCTTCATTCAGTTTCCTCTTTCACTGGAACAAGGAAACCCCATTCATGTCAACAACAATAACCACGAGCATACGCAGCTCAGGATGAAACACTAATCACCTTAAAATGTCAAGTTCATTTAAAATTCCCCATACTCTGTACAAACTTTAAGCTTTGTCTCATGAAACCTTATTATTAAAATTCGTGCTGGTTACACTGCAATTAGCCATGGTACGCAGTCGCCAACTTGCTGACTGTAATATTTTAAAGTTGATGCTTTGTTTATCTGTTTTGTCCTGGATTTGCACTTCGCTTGTAGGAAAAAGTAGCAGAAAAAACAAAGATCTTGTTTCTTCTGAGACATTTGTCATTAGCAGTGACCTAGTCTTGGTGTCTCCCAAGTCTTTGTAAGCAATCATCTCTACTTATTCCATTGCTAATTTTTTTAAAAGGTTGGTTTTATATGTAATGTATCAACAGACAAGCCCTAGGGACCAATGAGCCAGCTCTGAGAGCTAAAGGTCACTTAAAGCTTGATCTAAAGGGATCAACCCTGTCAATGTCCTGTATCCCAAAATGTAATACTTAACTCTACAGCAACCTTCATCTGCTAATATTAATCAAGTCTTACTTTATAACTTTCCCTTCCCAAGCAGTAACTTCTCTTTTGGCTCGGCATGGCAGTGTTGATCTTTTTAGGCAATGGAACCTTTAACCTTGTCCTGGCATGTCCAGCAACCAATAACCAATCGAGACATTGATTTGCTACAGATGCATTTAGGCTCCAGACAACCTAACCAGCAGACTAAAGTAAAAAAATGGCCACAAGTTTTCCAAAGCTGTCAGGCTAAGTGGGGATATGATGAA